GGGCAGGGTGAGTGCTGGGAATTCTTAGCAATGGAAGAGAAAAGAAAACCTGAATTTTTCCTGGCCAGACTAAAGCTTAAAATGTCATGAAAATAAGGTCTGAATTTCCTCCTTTTTTTTTTTTTATTTTCACTTTATAATTAGTTGGCTTCTTTGCCGCGCTACGTATATCCTTTTTATCTGCTACTGACTGGTTGAAAGTCTGATGTCACATCCTTCTTCATCTATTGTGCTTTTCCTCCTATTCAGACTTTTTCTCTTGTGATTTGTTTCAGAAGGAGGAAGTGCCAGAACATAGAGTTGTAGGCGCTCTTACAGACACCAACCTCTTAAAACTTCTCCAGTTGAGCAGTGCATTCTCTGGTGTCTTGAAAGCAGGGATAGGTGAGTAGTGTTTGCAGTTTCTTTGCAATGGCCCTTGTGCTTTCAGAGGAAGAGATATAGCCAGGCTTCCTGTTTATTTTGTAAAAGAATTGCACAGGATATTGCAGCATCTAAAGCGTTGCCATATTTTCTGCAAAAGCAAAAATATATTTCTAACTTTATTTAGATGTGACAGTAGTAAAGTTCTGTCTGCTGCTCAAAATCTGCCAACAACCTCAAACCTTCATAGTGGTAAGATTGGCGTGGCACTTTCCTGCCCCTCTACTGCACAGGAACTTCCCCCTAAGCCTGTACCGCTTTCTCTTATTGTTCTTGAAATGCAAAAAAATTATTTACAGGGCTAACCCCGCTGTTGTGTGGAGGGTGGAGAATGCAAAGGGGTCTGTAAAAGGCAGGGTGGGCTGGGTTTTGCTGCCTGCAGCACTGGCAGCTCACGCTGGCATTTCTGTGCAGGAGGAGAAAACCTTCTGGGGATCCAGAGCTGATCATTTGTGTATCGACTGCCTCTCCTCTGTCCCCCAGTGCCTGGTGCAGAGTGGTGGCTCCATGTTCTGACATTTGGATGCCTCCCAGTGTGGCTGACAAGTCGTTTTTGGCCACAGGGGTAGCTCCGTGTGTGACCCAGACACAGTGATCAAGCGGCAATGACAAATGGGGCTGTGCCAGCTGAGTCCTCTGTCACGTTCTCTGCAACTTTGCTTACAGCTGCTGCATTAAAGCTTCTCCTGTTTCCTGAACCTTTCTGTCCTGGAGCGTGGGGCTTTGGAGATGGATCCTGTGGAGGGAGGAGAAATGATGGTATCCTTAGGAAGGAAGAGATCTTTGAGATGCTTGAGTTCAACCCCAAAGCCCACTCTGCCAAGTCCACTACTAAACCAAGTTCCACACCTTGGAACTTGTAAGTGCCACGCCTACACATCTGTTAAATACCTCCAAGGGCCAGTGGCTCCAGCGCTTTCTTAGGCAGCCTGTGCTGGCACCTGATAACTCTTCCAGGGAGCAAAATTCTGAGTAATGTCCACTCTAACCTGCCTTGGCATAACTTGAGACCATTTCCTCTGGTCCTAAAAGCCACAGCCTTTCTCGCTCTTCTTCCCGTGCTCTTGCCTGTTGACCTCTGGAGCCTGGTGGTGGGCACAGGAGGTGCTGCTTCTGCTGCCCTTCACTTTACGGAGCAGCAAGGGCAGCAATGCTGATGCTAACGCTGAGGATGGAGCTAGACTGACTTATCTATTTGTTGCTGCCCCGTTAATAATCTCTTCCACTCCATCCCTCCCTTTTGGCAGAAGAAGGGAGGGAATAAGGGCAAGAGTGTGGAGGGATTGCCTGTCCACCAGCAGGATGCACTGGGAGAGCAGAGCAGGTCAGAGCCAGCGTGGCCTGTGCAAGGTTGGGTAGCAGCCTAGGAAGTCCCTTTACAAAGGTAGTTCTTGACCTTATTGTCTGCATCTGCCTCCAGAGCTGCCCTGTATCCATTCCTTTCCCACCCTCCGTCCATCCTGCCTGGCTACGGTGCCATGATCAGTGGGCTGAGCTCTCTGCAGGGACAGGTGGTTGGTGTGGAAAGGCAGCAACTGACAGGTCAACAGCCTGGAAGACCGAGGCTTGTGTTTGGTTTGGGGGAAGGACACATTGTGTATCAGGAGAAAACAACTCCCCTCATAACAACCAGCTCTCACTGGGCAGCAGCTCCACACAGTGTCTATTGACAGGGCTTCAGGAATGGTCATAAGGAACGTTCCTATTTCCTCCTGCCAGGGGCTTTGTGTACATGTCTCATGTCTCGTGGTCACAGTGCCCTGAAGTTCTAGAGGGTGACACATGAGGTTTCTGATAGTATTCCCAGAGTTTGTTGTGCACTGCTATGAAGGTGGGACACACCTGTGAAGGAAGGCTCATACTCTGCTGCCTCATCTGTCAGGTTTCTTCTTTCCTTCCCTCCAGATCATGATGGCTGTCTCAGGAGAGCAAGCTATGGCTGGAGAGAAAATGCTCAGGATGCCCAGCTGCCTCCTAAAGCCCACCAGGGTCATGCTGAGCCACAAGCCCTGGGCCCTGTTTATCCTCATCTTTGTGTTTGTATCCTTTGCCTACCACAAGTTGTACTGGGGCATCTGGGAGGACCCAAAGAGCAGAGGCCTCCCCTACGGCTCGTCTGCTGAAATCAGCTGTGCTCACTATGTGCCTTCTTCCCTCAACATTGCTGGTGGGCCCTCTCCTTCTACAGGAAGTGTGTTTTTTGTGGAGACCTCAGAGCAAACTACCCCAAGTTACCTGTTCTCATGCTCTGTGGAGTCAGCGGCCAGGGCGCACCCAGCATCAAGAGTCGTGGTGCTCATGAAAGGCTTGGCCAAAGAGAATGCCTCCTTACCCAAGCACTGGGCTTTCTCCTTGCTGAGCTGCTTCCCCAACGTGGAAATCCAGCCCCTCGACTTGACAGACCTCTTTTCTGGAACACCTCTGGCACAATGGTACTTGCAGCCTCAGAGGCAGCAGGAGCCTCATTTTTTACATGTCCTCTCTGATGCCTGCAGAATTGTCCTGATGTGGAAGTTTGGTGGCATCTACCTGGATACAGATTTCATTGTGCTTAAGGACTTACAGAACCTCACCGATGCACTCGGGATTCAGGATGACGTTGAACTGAATGGGGCCTTTCTGTCCTTTAAGCC